TCTCCCGTCTCCCCTCCGCCTGCAGCCTTTCCACCCTTTTACTCTGCCTCCACCCAGCTATGTGTGAGTTGCAGCAGATTTATGTAATGGCAAGCTTTGTGGTTGGCCTGGTGGCCCCTCAGCAATGCTTGTGTCCGTGCTCTCAAATGGTTGAGCTCCTTTTAAGGAAATAAAGCACTGAAGCAGCTCAGAGTGAGGACACTTGCCTGTAGTAGCTACTCAAGCAGGTTACTACCTCTGAATGTCCACGGCCAGGAGGCAAGCCCCCAGGATGCGAAGGCAGTGCTGGGTTCCCAGTGATGCTAGGCACCAAAGCTCTGCAGCTACACAGGCTTCTGCTTCAATTGCTGGGTTGTGGAAGTAACATCAGTCACTTGACTTTTCCCACTAGATGAGAAAAATGTCAAAAAGCTCTTTCCTTTTAACATCTCTACCCATATTAGTGTCCTTTATTATAAACAAATAGAGAGCTTCTAACTTCATAGAAATCTCATCTGTCTTCTCTTGATGCCTAGGGTCACCTTGGCTTGTTACTTTGGGTATTTTCTGTCAGTTGTCCAAGAGTTTCAACCCAATTATGTGAGATGAGTTCTCCCCACCTCTTCATCTCAGAAAGAAGAATATCTGTACTCATTATATATTCCAGGTCCAGACTGTAATCTGTGACTATGGTGGTGATCATTTTTTTAGTGAGAAACCCTTGACTTCCGTGTTGGAAGTCTAAATGGTCATCTTCAGCATCTGACAGATGCCTGTGCAGAAGTGGTGAGCCCACGGCCTCTTTCTAAGGCCAGTAACACTGTGAGATGGCTTTTTGGTCTTTATCCATTGATGGCCAGCTACAGTATGGGCAGTTATGGATAAAGGAAGTTACTGCTTGCCTTTCTAGGGAAATGCTACCACTGCAGCAAATGGCTTTTTCTGCATGAAGTAGGGTCTGATCTACAGCTCACTGAATTGTAAGCTTCCCACACATGGCTTGAATTAGGATACAGTCCCAGGGCAGAAACAGCCCTAAGTTGCAACTGTCTACCACATACCGGATGTTCAGTACTGACTATCCACAAAAGATGCACGCAACACTTAACTTGAAATTTGAATGGAGACAGTAAGAACCAGTAGAAGGTATTTCAAATCAGCTGCTGTGTTATAGGTTGGCATGGGAAACAGGGCTGCCCATCCCAAATAGGCTGTAAGGCAGTAATTCTTAATGGAATGGAATTTCAGAGGGATGTGTATTTCTAATTATCTTAAATCAAAATTTCAAAAGAATATTTAGGAGAGAAGGTAAAATAGAGTCTCTGGTGCCTTAAAGAGCTGTGAAAATCTAGCTCTTTGCTTGTCTGAAAACATTCCCTGTGTTTTCTAGAAAAACTAAATGTAGAGCAGGTGGGTGAGCAGAGTGAAAAGTAATAACAATAAAAAAGTTATAGGTTTTTTAGCTATAAAAAAGATCAACCTAAGAAGGAAATTTGGGGTGGAGAACAGGATAAGGAAGGAAGAAGATCTAGTGGACAGAGCAGCAGAAATGAAGTTTGTGGGAGGAAGCTGCTCAACACATAGCGGCATTCTGGGAGTTACAACATTAATAACATAGCAAGCTCTTCAAGGAAAGGAAGAGATGTATCAGTGTCCAGAACATGTCTTTTAATGTTTCTGCTTTGCTGTGCTGCTTGGGGTTATTACTAGAAGCTGTTGATGACTTTACTTTCACAAATCACCTTTTCACACCCACTTGTAATTTTTGCATTAGTCAGAAGCACCCCATGCCTTGGGTGCCTCTGACTGGGGACACAAGTCAAAGCACAAATTTCCTGAACCTCTGGACACTTCCCTTATGAAATTTGTACCCTCTCTAATGATTTTAAGAAAGACACTCAAAATCTAAAGGCTCCCAATAAAATCTGGAAGGTTAATTGTGTACTTTAACTTCTGCAGTCTACTACACCTTCATCCTCAGATCAGGAGAGATGTTTCAAAAGGTTCTCTCTATCAGGTCTATAGCACCATGTTCAAGTCTCAGTCTGGGGTCGGAAGAAGAAAGAAAGGAGATTTTTGAAAACGCGTGGAGGAGTTAGAGCCTGTCTGTCTTTTCTAAAAATAGCTTATTTCTCCTAATCTTTGACCTTTAAAATGCTAAATTGATGAAAAAGGTAATTGAACTTTTGACTCCAGGGTTAAAGGTTTCAGGAGGTGTTACTACAAATCTGAGTAAGCAAACGGTTATTTGAACATTTCTATCTCACAGGCTGATTAAAATTAACAACAGATTTCTCACTTAATTTTAGTAAGATGAGTTAAATACTCTTTTCATTTAAGAAACCTACAATTTCCATTGTTACCTCTGGTGCTGGTACACTACATGTACAAAAACGTCCTCCAGAGCCTAGTAGCCCTCTTCCATAAACATCTGATTCAAATTACCCTTCCTCAGCGCATGCCGTATGGACAGCTGATCTCTCAGGGCATTACAGATCAAGTGGAATGCACTTATGATTTGTTGAAATACAGCGAAGTACAGAGGTGATTCCCTCTTGATGAAGGGAGCAGATGGGACATTAGGGAAGTCATACAGAAAAAAACTTGTTGCCTGGTCATATCTGCTCATGTACATCGCCTGTCAGCTATCATAGGTCACAGTCCATCTCCCACCTACTAGATATATATAATATCAGCGGGTCTTTACAACACTCTCCCGCCTGTCATCGTTCTTCAAACTACTTTTTCAGATCATCCTTTTCTACCTAAGTTTAGTGATAGAGGTGAGAAATAGATCTTGGGACTTAGAGATAACAGCGTTGCACTGTCTACACTGCCATGCCACTGCCTGCATAGAAAGACAGTCCCCTTCACCCCTGCTATGTCTGTGGGATCACGTAGGCCAAACGCCACTCCTAAGGCATTTGTTTATCCCTAACAGATTTTCTTTTGACGATGATCCAGAATGTGCATAGCAATCATATAGCCTTGGATATGTTTGGGGCATGTGTTCAGACCCTTTTTGTGAAAAAGAAGAATTATTTTTTTCAGTATACTGTGTTCAGAAGGTTAGTTTAGGGCTAGAAAAAGGAGCATTAGAAGAGGTAAAAGCGTATGCAGCTTTACAGAAAAGACAAACATTGCAACCGCCGGAGTTGGTACCTACAGTTAAGGTCATCCATTAAACAGACTACTGTGAATTGTCTTTGTTTCTGTTGATTATGGTAAATGTCTACTACAAGATTTGACCCTTCAAAACCAAAGAGATATGAGCAGAGAAAGTGGCTGTAGGAAAAATGTTGAAATGAAGACAAGGAAAATCTTATTGCTGAATGCGCAAAGTAAAACTAATGAGAACAACAGATGGAATTTATCATTTTTAGGACACCAAAGATAACATTTTTTCTTTCTTTTATTACAGTAGCTTCTAATATGTGTTTATATTGATATTTAATTGAACTGTTGGGAGAATCATTACATCATCAGCAAACATAAATTTAATATTTGCTGGTTCTGTATGGTATTTGCAAGGTGAAGTAAATTCAATGCAATCAAAAATTCTGTTTTGTTTTGTTCAGGTTTAAACAAGGGATTTAAAAAAAATTATTATTTTTTCAATCAAGGCTTAAATATTTTGTACGCTTTAGTTACTGTAGGAGAAAGGAGGCTTAACTCATTTTACTGAGTTGATACACAAGCACTAAAGGCAAGATTTTGTCCAAAAGCTTTGGACTGAGAAACAAAGCACTAGATAAGTGATCAGATTATTAAAAAGCATTTTAAAAAACTAATTTGTTCATAAGGTATCTCAATACACACGTAGGAGCTGAACTTTATGCTCACACTTTTGTTAAGAAGGGATCAAGTGGTAAATAAAGTGAAGATGCATAAGATCTGCATTCTCTACTATCTAGTGCTGGAGCTTGGAAACAGGGTGTATTCCTAAAGCTGACACCATCGTGCTGTTTTACCTTGACTTGGTGATTTTGCCTTCTTCTGTGCCTCCCTTTCCACCTACCTCCCTTTATTAGACAATAAGCATTTAAAGGCACTTGCAACCTTTCTGTAAATGGTCTTTCACCCTAACTCTTATTCTTACAATAGGAACATAAAAATGATGAGCAAGACCTTTATTTGTGGACAAGCCAACCTATTTTGATAGTCACTCCTCTCCTGAAATATTTTTATGTTATACGGCATTGATCACAGCACTCCAGGAGTCATCGTGCTTTTTCTTTCCTTTTTTTTCCTACTAGTAAACAAGCATCATGATCATGTAATATCATCTAATCTTTTTTAGTGGACTACATGTGAGTTGGTGCAGCATTGCTAGTCCTTGGTGTGAAATCTGGGATCCCGAAGAAGAATTAGCATTTTGCAAAATCATCTCTGGACAGTAATGAGTTTTAATTCAACAGAGTTTATCAATTTTGAACTTTTACCTAAAAGAACAAAATTCAAGTGTTTCTGAAAGTTCTCCCAGTGAAAAAAATCAAGGGTAAATGAAGATCAGATATTGGGATCTGAAACATATGAATACTACGTGTGTTCTAATATGTTCTATATGTTCTAATATTTCTGGAGAAATCTGAATAGCAGATAACATTCGAGATAACATTCAAATTAATAAAAAAAAAAAACAAACAACAGTTTACTGAATTTTTATCAAATCTGAGTTCAGATAATTTTGACCTGGAACTACATATTTAATTCCACTTCCTATGCAGAATGAAAACCATCTTTCCTGGGGAGAATTTAATGTAATCAGTCATGCTTTAGAAATAAGATAAATAGTAGGATCTTTATAACATCCTTGTGGATGAAAAGGCTTGCTGTCCTTCAAAATGCCTTTCCCAAAGAGAGTTTCACAAAAAACACGAAGCACCTGAGTAATCTTGTGCTGAACAAGATGAAAGGCACTGGACTTGCTTGCATACCAGCTTCCTATGTAGTACTTTAACATTATCGGCACATTATACTATGTACTAATATTTCTTAACAGAATGGACTAGTCATCTTACCCAAGACTCTCTCATTCTTAGCACTCTGTTGTCCTCCAGTACTAGTTGAAAGGTCCTCTGGTACAGGCATAGGTTCATCCGCATCATCTGGGACATCACTAATTGGAGGACTTTCCTTTCCTAGTAGTGAAGAAAGTAGCATCATTTAGTCATCAGAGTAGCCTCATTTTCAAATAACACCGTAAGAGGAACCACAAAACAAATAGAACTTTTTTTTTTTTTTTTTTTAAAAAAAAAAAAAAGAATCCTAAACACTACTAAAAGCATGACATTCTTAGGACTAAAACCTGCTGTCCTGCAGGGAAAGCTTCTTTTGAGTACAGGGGAATTATATTTGTGAAAAGAATGGATGGCCAATGTCTCTTCCAAATTTACTGAGGTTTGGATAAACAGTTATCAGTCTTAATATTTTGGATATTTGTAACACACATGGATATTTTTCAGCTGCTATGCTCAGAAGATCCAGTTTAACCAACACAGACTGGCAGATGACAAAGGTTATCAAATGGGCAACTGTTGTAAAAATGCTTCTTTCTTCCACAAATGTTCCTCAAGTGCACATCTGGATTTGTTTCAATGACATAGTGAAGACTAACCCACAAGTATTCTGGGGCTCTTACAGAATTACCAAAAAAATCAAATTTTATCTCCAAATAAAAATTCAGCTACATCTTCAGCAAGCTTCACTAATACCTGCAGATCAAGCTTTCGTTGGTCTTTGTGCCTACAAGTAACGAAGTGCCTGTAGCTCCTGGGCTTCCTAAAACATGTACAATTAGCAGAGGTCACTCAAAACATGACTTCAAGGGTTTTATGGTCTCTTATTTGTAAAGAGGAAACAAACCCCAGTATCTTGTGTACGCAAGGTTTTGCAGAAGAAAACAGTCTGGTGCTTTAGTGTGTTACGGAACTATTATGGAACTGGTTTAGTGCCAAATGCAATACAATAAGGAAAACTCCCTTGCTAAGTATTGTACTTCCAGGAATGGTGAGGTTTCTTGGTTTAGCTCTCAGTCACAGCATACATGTCCTGCCCACAGTACCATCCTGTCTTTCAGAGCTTCTTTTGAGACAACTTCACACATCTGTAGCAAAAGCATGCCTTGGAAACAACTACCAAAAGAATTATCTAAGTGATTAGTTTCATTGGCTATTACTAAAATGCTGGTCTTTGCATTAATAGCAAAGAATGCAATAGGCCCAGAGCAGGATTTGAACTCAGTAATGTTCACATAAGACCTTTGTCTCCGAAATGGAGATGTTATCAATTTATACTGATGCAATCTATTAGACATCCCGTGGCAATCAGCACACCAGCAAGGGCAGTAATTTCATGGCACAAAGACCTAGCGAATTAGTGGTTTTTTTCTAATGAGAATTCCCTCATTAACACACAAACATTAATTAATTCTGAAATCACTTCTCAGAAAAGGAAAAATTAAAACAAATATAGCTTACTTAGTGACAACAGTCTGGTGATGCCAGTTATGGATTTGACCTGAACTAAAACGGTTCCTTCCCAACCTCCTGGATAGAGCAAAGCATCGTGCTTTCCAGCCTGTACTGATCATGACAGGGGGGTGGAAATGACAGGTAGGTTTAAGTTATCTTCCAAATTAGCTGGTTTGGGCTGTTTGCACAAATCTAGGTTTAAATGAATGAAATGAGTGGGTGACTGCATTTCTTAATGACACGGCTATCAGACTGTGGAATAATCTCTGAGCACGTAGTGGTGGGAGCGGTATCAGGTGAACCATCTAAAACTGCAGCAAGAGGGTAACGAAGGAACAGTCCTGCACTGGCAGAGGGACTGACTAGATGATTTCATAAGGTGCCCCCCCATCTCCAGCTTCTGCAGGGTAATCTTAAATGGGCAAAATCACATCCACTGGATGCGAGTGCAAGAGCAAAGGTGGATTGCATAAATGGAAAAGAAGGACTATGGCTCTTACACCAGAGGAAAGTAAAAGCAGGAAGTAAGTTCATTAAAACAGTTTTTGCCATTGACTGTTTAGCTCCTTATTTAGTTATTCCTGTAGTTTTCCGAACCATTTTTATGGGATGTAAGGAGCTTAAAGAACTGTCAGCAACTTTCCAATGCAAGTACCATCCTGCCAAGCTGAGGGATCTCTTACAGATGGGATGCATGGGTGAGGAGAGACAGCAGAAATATTTCAGCTTTTTCAACACTTCCCCCCCCC